GAGAAGAAGAACCGGGAGAAGAAAGAAGAGAAGTAAAAGAAAACGAAGATGTGAGAAGCCCATGCTAAGAAAAAACAACAACCGCGACAAAGTGTAGGATTATGCTGGTTAAAAAAAACCCAGCAACAACAACCACTGTCTCCGTGTGTGTTAAAGAGAGAGAGAGAGAGAGAGAGAGAGAGAGAGAAAGGGGAAAGAGAGAAGAAGTGAAGAAGTGAAGAAGAAGAGAGAGAGAAAGGAAGAGAAAGAAGGAGAAAGTAGGAGAAAGTGAGGAGGAGATCGAGAGAGATTGAGCGTATATGTGTGTGTGCATTTGTGTTTATGCGTTATGTGTGTGTGTGCGCGCGCGCGCGTGTGTGTGTGCGTGTGTGTGTGTGTGTGTGTGTGCGTGTGTGTGCGTTTTTATCCATATTAGTTAATGCGATCGATCGCCTGGTGGTGAGATTGTAAGATTTCTTGAGACTTTTTGGCGAGATTTGAAAGTCCATTAGAAGTCTTTTAATCCCTTTGACAGTTTTAGAAACTACATAGACACACAGAGAGACAAAGAGACTGAGAAAGATAGAAAGAGAAAGACAGAGACACAGAGAGGGACAGAGAGAGAGAATGAGAGAATAGGGAGGGATGAGGAGAGAAAGAGAGGGAGGTGAGAAGTGAGCGGGAAAGACAAAGAGAAAGACAGAGACAGTCATGGAGACTGAAGGAAAGACTAAGAGAATCTTTTTTTAAGGCAAAGAAAGAGAAAAAGAAGAGAGAAAAGGAAAGAGAGGGGTGAAATACAGATAGATGCCATGAGAAGAACAGCGAAAGAGATGGGGAAAAAGAGAAAGAAAGAAAGAGAAAGAGAGAAAGAGAGAAAGAGACAGAGAGACAGAGACAGAGACAGGGACAGACATTGAGAGAGACAGGGGAGAAAGGGAAAGAGAGGGAGAGAGAAATAGAGGAGAGATGTGTGTACCCATCACAATTGCACAATAACAGGATAATGTAGTGTGCTTTGTGATGCCAATAAAGTATGTCTTTGTTGATTGCTATCAAGTAATGGCGAACAATTTTTTTCTTCTCTTCCCAGGGACTTGAGCATGAACAACTTACAAAAGCTGCCGGAGGATACCTTCAAGGAAATGACCAGCCTGCGAGAATTGTAAGCATTTCAGAAAAAGAAATACAGGAAATACAAAATCCGTGTCTTTGTGGCCTAACCTTTTTATATCTCACTCTTTAATACTGCAGTTGAGCTCATTTCTTTCTTTGTCCCCCCCCCCCCTCTT